TTACAATTTAAAAACTTTATGGCATATTATTTTGTATTGATTAAGAAATATTTATTTATATTCATTCGTATTTGTTGTATAGGTGAATACTAGATATATTGGGAATACAATTACATAATGTAATGTATTATTCATTTTTTATGCTATGTTCTATTTATTTTTCACACTATACTTCAAATAACTAATATTTTCCATCTGTAGAAAAGAATTTGCTTAAAGATTAAAATTAAAAACGGAAATGTACTGCTTCATTTAATACAGTGACAAGCGATTTACAAATCAGTTTATGTTAAATTATATGTGATTTCATATATTTTAAATAAGTATTTGCATTTGCTTTACCATCATTATTTTTATTTCATAATCATGTAATATTTTGTAGAGTTTAGCTACAAGTATAGATATTATAGTAATAAATAACTATTTTTCATTTTCCATTTAGTTTATAGGGAGAAATAATATATTTTATAGTGCTTGCCGAACTTGTACTGACATTTTATAAAAGATAAACATACAAATTAGTATATATTTAAAAAAATTTAATGATAATCTTAACTTAGAAGAGAAAGTCACAAGTAAGTCGGGGACAGATAGATTTTATTTAAAATGTTTTGAAAAAGAATAGAGAGAAAATTGCAATGTAATCAATTTACTATAATTATTTGGTTTAAGACAAATATTAGAACCAGACGTTTTCTTAATCTACGTCAAACTACTTGACATATGTACAAAAATGAATAGATAAATAAAGTTTATTCCAGTACTGAATTTTGTCAGAAATCTTTAGTTTACAGATTCCGAACGTATTCATTGAGAATTTCGAGATATGTAGTTAGTAGGAGAGATATGTTAGACCGTTTCCAATATTTTAAATATAATTATATTACTACAACTTAGTAATCCATATGTAACTTTGTAGTCAACGAATTAATGCCTTCATTTAACAAGTTGAAAAACTTTGTTGTCTATAGTATATAGGGTGCTCAACATAATTTGATGAAAAAATGTTTCACATAAAAGTTAATCAACTTTAAGGGAAGAGACCACCATATGACATCTAAAAGTGGGTAAAGTTTTAACAATTTCTTTTGTTGACAATTATTAAGTGAAGAATTCTGATCTTTTCTGGATACATAAACGTGATCTTCAATTTTATATTTTTTTGTAACTCAAAATGTTAAAAAATGGTGGTTATTGCTAGCTTCGAAACCTCTTTTTTTGGAAAAACATTCATTACTGGCGAACACAATTACAAATAGATGGAATATTCAAAGACATATTTTAATGAATTTACAAGTAAAAATATATTATCTACAATGTAGCATATTTTTTTCCAAAATTTTAATTGTTGTAGAAATGACAAGACTATGAAGTGAACAAACCTGTTTTTATCCTCACAAATTAGTTTCAAATGTTTATAAAAAAATAAATATTTGAGATATCGCAGGAGTTGTACATGGCATTGTGGAGTATTATATATTGAACATTTTCGCCAAATTTGAAGATAATTGAACGTGTACTTTCAGAGATCTTGCGTCCATCGATATGAAAAACATGGTTTTGGGGAAATCCCATTTTTTCATTCCCACAATTGGGAAAATGAAAGAAGTTTTAAGGTATTCTT